CATTTGCAAGTTCTGTGTAATGCCACTTCAGAAAGGGGAAAGTTTTCAGAAATATCACACCCTCAAGCACTTCTAGGAGCATTGGCAAGTGTTCTCCAAAAATTTTAGTTCAAAAAATTAATTAGGAGATTTTACATTAATTTTTAAAGTGAACAGTGCACAAGTTAGGGTAGTATGTTTAAAAATGCCGGTCCCCAGGGTGATTTAAATATTTAAATCACTGGTCTGCAAAGTGTTAAGCACATCTCCAGGTACATCATCATCTCCTGTAGCCTTTCCATTCCTCATGTCCTTGATAGCTTTTTCCATCTCACTTTGTAAAATATGTGGTCCTTTCTCGTCTGTATCTACTTCTTCTTCCGGTTCCACTTCCAAGGTTTCTGGCCGATTAGGTTGATCATATAGTTCTGAAATATAATTTTTCCAAATTTTCAGCACTTGCCCGATTTACTATTTATTCCCCTGGGAGTCTTCGATGTCAATATTTTGAATCCCATGGTTCTCTTTCCATCCTAGTTCTTATGTCTTCATGTACATCAAATCATAACGTCCTGTCCTTTCAAATTCTATAATCTCATTACATATCTTCTCAAGATATTCCTTTTTGGCCCTGTCCATGGCTCTTTTCAATTCATTCCTCAGTCTCCTGTATTTCCTCCTGCCTTCTTCATTGTTTACATTCTTCCATTTCCAAACAGTATGTAATCTCTCTTTCTTATCAACAATTCTGGACCCATACAGTGAAACAGCTCTATCTCAGAAACCGTCCAGAATAGGATACATGTACACATACACTTTTTTGCTTAGGATCTTATGACCTACCAGAATTAACATTTCTTCCTGGGACACCCTGTATACTGGCCAATGTTTACAAGTTCTGAATTTACATGTGTAATACAAATTACAGGCTGAATTACATGGATTACTGATTTCGTTCATTGTCCCAATTTGTTTAAAATCTTTACAAAAATTAAATTTATGATTTAATTTAAATGTAATGTACACATACTACAGAGGACTATCAGTATTTCTACATTCATTTGGTAAAAAACACTGTGCTACTTTTTAGATGTTTGATTCCGTGAATTTGTATACACTTTCTTCAGTTTATATTTTGTCTGTAAATAATCCATAGGCTTTTACTTCTACTTTTTGAATGGCTGTTTGGTCTATTATTTATGGTTTTTATTTTTATTTTGTGCATGTGTGTAAGTGACTGCATGCAAGGGGACCGCGACTGTGTTCAGTGAACCTCTCCTCCACATCTCTCAAGAGAATACAACATTATGCTCCAACACAACATTTCACAATAGTAAACATTTCATGAACACTGTACTTATCACGCAAGATAATGCCTAAGGAAAACAGCAAATTGACATTGTCAGTTATTACATTAATTTTAAATAGGAGTGCAGAAAGTGTTTTGTGTTTAGAGGAATATTAAGTGTTCTGACATGGAGGAGATACATGCATGGAGAGAACAGCACACATCCAGGATATATCCATTAGTGGGCAGACTCCCCAAGTAAGTACTGGATTACTACTTAACAGTACTAATAAAAATATATATTCACAGAAGTAAGCAAAAGTCAGAATTCTACTATAAGTGAACTATTATGTGGCCATCCACTACAACCTCCTCTACATAACACAAAACAAGTTCCAGGGGGTTGTTACTCTTCCAACAGCAGCATTAAGCATGAGCCCATTGCAGTGTTCAATTCACTGTTCTTACTACAGGCTTTAGTGATTGGAAGCAGCACACTCTCATCAGTGGGGTGATGTACATATAAGAATGCTAATGACATTCATAGAGTAGCACAAGAAAATAACCTTCCCCCACATACAATTTCACCATATAATTGGCCTGTTACAGATCAAGTTTGAAGCTGACATAACTGAATGCACTACTTCATGGAGATTCAACTATGAGGCATATTAACACTACTGAGGTAGCAGACAAAATGACTTGATTGCTAGGCAGAGACTGAAGCTTGTTCCGTTCTTTCCAAAGCAGAAATTATTACATCAATGCAGAGACGTATTCATGCTCTAAAAAAACTATCCACAGGCTTATTAAATAGTTTCAACAGAACGGTTCAGTTTTGGAATGATATTGTTCTCATGCTGCAAGCATGACTACTGGCCAGAGTACTGATGTTATCAAAGTAGTACTCCAAGAAAATCTTGAAAAATCAATAAAGATGAAACAGAAAGCTTATGAAAATACATTTCTATTTCTGGTGGAGAGTTCAGACTCAAAAGTTTTTTCTCCATTCAATGAAATCACATGTGGGCTCACATACCTTGTCATAATGCCTGCGTAGTCCATAAGCACTACGACATGAGAAATCACACCCTTCCTCTTCGCAGTGGTAAAGAGGGTCAGAGCGGTGTGTATTCAAGTGTTGTTTCATGTCATAGTGTGTCTTGGCTCTGAAACACAATACACATCAAAGAAATTTTGCTGGTAACTTTCATTTCCAGATTACTTCCAGTAACAAGGGTGGCATTTGACTTCAGTTAACTTTTACTTGTATTACATTAAATCAAAATGTATGCTAAAGAACCAAATTACATTAAGTATGCCCTTACATGATTCGGTCCTTAGAGACCATCAGAGGGACATCAATAGTCTGGAAACTACTATTACAATAGACGTTCTGAGCGTTTGTACTAGTACTACTATTGTAATAGTAGTTTCGAAACTGTATTGACGTTCCTCTGATGATGGTCTCTAAGGACCAGTCACACTGGATGGAACCTTTTTATCTTTTTATAATACCATTAGTGTGTTGGACTAGAATGAAACAAATCAAATTTAATTTCTTCACAAAGAATCTTAAAGGGACACTTTCAGCAGGAACATCACAAATACAGTAGTTCAGTACAGTCAAGATGTGAGGGGAAATTGGCAGTGAGAAGAGTCACACAGTTTGCTTCACTATCGTAGAGGAGCTTAATGTGCTGGTTATGTACTCATTTTCTCATCAGGAGTACAGAAGAGAATGCCTTCTTTGATGTGACAAGCTATATTTAATTTGTGAGTGAAAGGTCTGTCATGAATGACTTTTTATTATTTAATTTTTGTCAGCCATGCTACATGTATTCACGTGTTCAAATGTATAGTCCAATGGCCTTTCTGCATGAAATCATATTTTTAAATGTCTCCAGTACAAGTGCACATGCAAACCTAAATAATAATTATTTAAATATAGTAAAATTCAATGTACATGCTGTTTCTTGTTGTTTTCTATTCTGCATACGTATGATGGTCATCCCTGTGCCATCCATCTGTTTCTTGCCTGGGTGAGGTACTCTCAAAGCACCCCCCCTCCCCACATAAAATAAAGACAAAGGTTACAATTTCACAGCTGCTGTGATGTCCAGAACCTGATTCATCACTTTCCAAACAATGTATTGCAGGCACTGTATGAAGAAAAGAAACTATTCAAAATGCCTACTCTCTAAGAACCCAGTATATAGGAAATATACTAGAGTGTAGTGTTGCTGTTTCACTGACAATAATTGAAAAACGTAGCTGTAAAACTATGGTGTCCTGTATAATAATAAAAATACTTCTTAGATCTCAGCTATTGTCAACAGAGTGGAATATCTCAAAGCTATGAACCTGCTGTGAAGGCTGCTGAAAGCTGGTGTATGCTGAGGACTGTTCCTGTGTTCATTTCTTGGCATGCAACTGGAAGTCACATGACACAGAGGAACGATTCTATAATGCAGAACCATTTTGTGATGAAGTGGGGCTCTTATTTTTATGGTAAGCAACAAAACAATAAATATGAAGAAAGTCCATGATTTATTTAAACCGTCTTGCAGTGCATACACTCATCCATCTCCTTCTCTCACTCGCACTACATGTTTCGGCATAAAAATGCCATCTTCAGGTGCTTACTCAGTCCACGCCAAACTAGTTCATTGCATGCCTTGTCCTCACATTAAAATAACTAAAATATATATCTATCATATACATTGACAAATGTCAAACGTTAAAAACAATTTTAATA